GTAGTTACTTATTTCTAGTATATACCAAATATGATTTGCTTTTCAAGAAGAAAAAAAGAAACTAAAACTAAACTTCTAAACTGCTAGTAATGAATTCGCTGCATCAAGTAAACATGAAAACAGTGTTGTTGTTTTTTAATAAATATTTTAATATCGTCCAGAAAACTACAATTAATCCAGATCACTCAAGTTCTTCTGTAGGTTTAGGTTTGAGTTTGGATTCCTTGGCCAGGTGTATCTTGTCTGTTTACTCAAATTCTCAGGAGTAAATGACAAGGTACTTAGGCTCTTCTTTTCCAGCTGAATAGAACTTTCTGCCTGATTCTACCTCCTTTTTGTACAGATAAAATGGACTAAACCATCAAAAGGAAAATCTAAAGTTTACATTGATTATTTCCTTTCTCCAGTCCTAATTTTCCAGTTCTCTTTCTAACCTGGTGTTACTGTAGAAGGTCTTTTACCTAATAGAATAGGCATGCAGATGCCAGTTAATTGACATCACCATCATTAATTTCAATGAATATTTGATTTTAAAGTATGTCATAAAGAATAAGTTACAATCTTTAAATATTTTTTCTCAAGTAAAAATATGTAAATGTTCACAACTCTCAAATTGAGATGAAACACTTGATACTTTCTTTGAGTATATATGATTCCATTGCCTGGAAATCCACATTATCTCTCTTTCATAACCTCAGCCATAAAGCATCATCAATTTCACAAGCTTGAGTTTCTTTTTAAAGTGATAACTTTATTATACTCAAAACACTATTTGAGTGCAAAATCCTCCTAGATATTTACAATTTCTTCCCCAACTTTGACCAAGTTGTATCTCATTTATAATGTGTTTTAAGATTTGCCTTTAGGTTTGAGTTTGGATTCCTCAGCCAGGTGTATATAATTCAAATAATTCAACTTATACATAGGCCGAATTTCTTTATTTTTTGCTTTATGTTATATTTAAGTCACCTAATTTTTAAAAAGTACAATGGAAATAAATAGGATTGTGAGCAAATACAAATGATCTTTGGTAAAAATATAATTCATCAAGTTTGATCAGATATGTAAGGCTTACGATAGGCATCAATCAGCACAAAGTACAGGGGGAAGACAGACCATTTATTAAACTAAACATGTGTCTGGGTGCAGATTGTTTAACAAGATTTCTAATGATATTGTACTAATAGCCGACATTAAGTGTCAGCCCCTATTCTAAGTGTTTTAAATGTAATAATACCGCACGACAACACTGGGAAGCTAGGTCCTTTTGTTGCATCTGTTTTTCAGATGAGAAAACTGATGTACCAAGAGTTAAGTGACTTTCCAAGGGCACACTCCTATGTGGTTTTCCCCCAGAATCTATGATCCTAACAAGTGCATCTCCTGCTTCCTGTACTCCACCAGTTTTTCTTCTCTTTTACAGCATCCATCCAATCTGCTTCCGTTCCCCCTTTCATTACTATTAACCTCATAAACCTCAATCTTTAATGTGAATAAGATGAGGTATACTGATTATAATGGAAAATATGTTTTTTTCTTATGGAAAACATAAATTCAGAAATAAGGAAAATGTGGATCTAGGCCATTTTGAATGTGAAAGTAAATTTCAAGTTAATGTACTTTGGAATCCTCTATAATTAAAGGTTAATATGCAAATTGTCCCAAGGATGGGAGTTCTAGGGGAATTAGATGTGCGCTGTCCATCAGGGGCAGTGCTGAACACGGCAGGTGTCAGCGACTAGGTGCTGGCAGTGGGTGGCAGTGGAGGCACTGCCTGCCACAATGGGCCCCAACAAGAATGGGACCACAGCAGGATGGTGGAGCAGGTGAGCGGGTGGTTCCAGGCCAAGATGGGTGTGAATGAAGGTCCCAGAACACCACACAGATGGACCCTAATCACCGGCAGCGAAACTCTAGTACAATCATAAACAAATAATACTTCAAATAACATAAATAGTAACAAAAGTTACTTCCAACTAGGTAAGGTTACGGTTTATTCTGAAGTTTTGGCTGCTTTACAAATGTTATTTTTCTGATATCAAGAGAATACATTACTTAACCCTAATTAATTTTTATGATTTATTTCTTAAGCTCACTTTGACATTTATCTTTATGTCATAATTTCCTTCTGAATGATTTTATTTGACAAGTCCTTTAATCCTGAACATATTTTAGGAATTTTTCTCTTAGTTTTCATTTGATAATACTGTCAAAATATTCAATCCATCTGGATCTAATTGAGTCAGGGGTCATCTCAAACACAAAATTTAAGGAGGCACTCACTATCAGCTGCTGACCCTGCACTGGCAAACCCCTGAAAGTGAGGCTTCCTTAAATTAAGTTCATTCAGCATCTCACCTGCATCATCATAGTCCCAGCATGTATCAGAATATATTACATTATAATGTAAACTTTTCAGTGTTTTTCTAGTATGAAGCATGTGGTTTTAGCCACTTAACAGAAGTAGAGTCTAAAATTTAGAGAGGTTTAGGAAATGTCCTATGGTAGTTACTTGAGAAGTGGAATTTGTAGAATGCAAGCCTCCTGATTATAATTTGTTAAATTACCAGATAATTTCACAAATTGTAATTGAAATCAAATCAATCCCTTGTTAATACCATTAGACTCAGATGGTATTAACCACACAGAAAAATAAATGACTACTGGTTTGCATTCTCCAGCTCCAAGGGCAGGGAGTGGATGATCTTCAGTGACGCTCAGAGAACCACAACCAACGATGGCATGCTTGTCCTTCATGCCTTTCCAGCCTCATTTTTGTACTCTGTCCTTGGACCAAGGCACCAGTGTCCACATTGCCTACGGTTGCTCAAAGCCTCTTACTCTAGCTGTTCACTAAGATAAGCTCTCTGCTGAGGCTCTCATGCTCTGCTTCAGCCCTTCATTAATTACCTGCATGTAAATTCCATCCCTTAAGTGGGTGGCAAAAAGAAAGAAGTCTGAACATCTTGCTACATCTGGACTTCCATAAAAAATAAACTTGTTAAAGCCCCGACTAATGGATGCTTGATTGAGCTGTATAGAGGCTACCGTGTGAGTAACTTCACAAGATTCTAGAGCAGGCACTTTGATCTCACTAGTAGAACTAAAGATCAAAGATGAATGAGTAACATATAATTTCAGAAGGTTCGCCAACCATACGTAGAAAATGGCACTGGACATATACTCATGTTGCATATAGAGTACAGATTCAAATCATAGCTTACAGCGCTTGGCCCATCCAAGATCTTGGTAACAGATTGGCAAATATAAACTTTAAGATAGCCTGCTAGATTATACATGTATGCATTTTAGGTTCCTTAGATGGGGAGGGAGATCATTATTTGAATTCACAGCCAAGGTGGAGGCTACAGAAATCATTGTAAATACAGACGGGCTTAAATGAGTTTCCTATCAGGTGATCACTGAAGCTCAGTTTGAAGACAGCACAGGCACTTGGGCAAAGCTCTGTGACCACTGGGTATAAAGGGCATGTGACAGATGAGTGGGAAGTTCTTTTTAGCATAATACACATCATGAGGTCCATAATGTTTATAATTAAGATCATTCCCAGAAATTGAGGGGTAAAGGAGAGAGGGTTTTAATGACAGGGATGACTCTTGTATTCTAAGTATATTTTACAGGTGTGTACAGTTATATCCCATAGAAATAATCAGATATACTCCAATTTCCAAATGGTAGAGAAATTAGAATTCTGTAGATATATATGATGACTGTTCAGGGTTGTTTTTATGCCCATATGATTTACTTATAATTATGAGTATTTTACTACTCAACTCTCCTTTGTTACTCAATTATGTGTAATTTTTATTATGTGAAATTTCTCATATTGAATTATATACATCATTTTAGTTTCTATGTAGTTATTTTTTAAATTATTTTAAATTGTATTATTTATAGTAGAAGGAAATTCAAACATAGTACTTATGTGAATGCTTGCAAAGGCTAGAACAGAGAGAATTATGTGGGTGACATGTTGGGATATCAACTTTTCTATTTCCAATTCTTTAAAACTAAACACATTCTATGCAAGTAACAAGCAATGGGTAAAATGTAAATTCCATTGTAATTTGGATAACCTTGCAATGTTTGGAGATGTTTCCTGGTGAAATGGGTGGAATTTCATGAGAAGTGGTTCCCAATGGCCGTTACCATCAGCGATATGCCCAATCCTTTGTGTTACTAAGTGGACTTTGGTTTAGAAATTGTACATTATTCAATGTATAGAACAAATATCATGGGTTGTTTTATTTGGAAAGTAAATTATGTGTTATAGTAGAATAGTGCCTGCTGGACAGAAAATTTTCTTTTACATCATGTTTTCTATAATGATAGAGGACATTGCTGAAAAATTAGGAAATAGATTTTGTAATTTCTAACAGTATATAGTAAAGCTGTAAAATACCTTCTATTAAATAAAAATAGCATTCCACTTCCTTTTCTACTATAAGAATAAAGGGAAACAGCACATTTACTGAATTGTAAAAGGAAGGATACATTTGGAAAAAGTTGACATTGGTTTTCAGACAGGTTATAACAGTGCTTTTAGCTTTTTATTGACAACCAATTTTCTCTTTCCAAGGACATTGAAGAATCAAAACTCTGTGAATGGAATCAAAACGTATATGCCTTTGTTTTCTGAAGAAGGGAAAAATACACTCTTCTACAGTTCAAATTCAGTCCATTCTCTGTGGCTACAATAGCCACATATCTTTGAAAGGGAAGTTTTGATTAAGCCATTTTCCAAATTAATAACCACAAAAGTATTATTTTAAATCTGTCTTACAGGAGCTTCACAGAAAGCCTCTTTTAATCCTTTTAAGCAGAAGAAAAGGGGAGCCACGAGCAAATCAGCAATGCTCTCTCGTGCATAGCTGCAGGAGCTCTAGTCCTGCTGTGGTGTTGACTTACTGTGGCTCTGCCTTTCTTCTTTGCATGCTTCGCTCCCTGATTCCACTGCTTCCCTCGGGGCCTCACTGCAGCCTTCAGGCAACGTTTGGGTGACCCATGAAGAAATGGAAACTCTTGCAGCTCCAGCGAAAACGGTTAGTCCATATTTCTCTGTTGAACATGAAGACAAGTTACTTTGCAGCTATTGGGATGATAAAACTGTTTTGTTCACGATGGCTTGACATAATGGGGTATGGTTCTGTGGTGTAATGTAATAATAACCAACATTTTTCTTATGGGTTTAGTTTTTCTGCACTTTGACATTTTTCAGTGAAGCAGTGCTAGACTGTGATGATGTGGTTAGTGTCATAAGCCTCTGTAATACGCAAACACCACTCAGTACCAACTTATCTATCCATTTTGCAACATTGGTAACAAATATCACTTAGTATTGGGCACATTCACATTTAATACATATCACCAAACCCAATAAAACTTGTGATAGAAAAATTTAGATTGTATACTAATTTTTAATGCAATCATTTTATTTCTTGTATTTTAGCATTTCAAAGAGAGCACTTTATCCTATCCTCCTTCCCCCTCCCAAAAAAATGTTCTGTTATTTAGTATTCAAAAAGCAGGCTTAAAAAATTCTTGGTGACACTGATTATAATTGTCTACTTTTAAAAATATATTATATATAGTTATTTTTAAAATTTAAAGTTGAACACAGTATGCATTTTATTCTTACCAACTTTTTAACAATTTGAATCTTCTTTCAGTTTTATCCTATTTTAAAAATGTATTATCCTGTTTATGATGGATAAAAATGTCAATGCTCAATACTAATTCTATTTTTGGATTAGTTTGTTGTGTTAGTTTTGTCTTTTTTTATTTTTCTTGTTTTAGCTGTTGCAAAAATCTATTTGATTATCACAAAAATTCCTTAGAGGGATGCAGTTATTTTTCCACTTCATTAATTTACTTTATATAAGATTTATCCATCATATATGTGAGTGTATGCTTGTATGAGTGTGTGTGTGTGTGTGTGTGTGTGTGTGTGTTGTGTGTAAAACAATGGACTGCATAGAGGTATAGCAGACTATACATTTATAATGTATATTTTATAATATATGTGTATATGTCCACATTTGTGTATTATGTTTTTATGTATATGATCAGAATTTTTTATTCTAATTCATTACATTTGTGAAAGTACACAATTTTAAGAATTAAAAAGAGTTTAGAATTACCAGATCAAATGTATCATGAAAATTCCATATGTCATATATATTTAATTAGAATTAATTAGAAACAATTAATTAGTAGTTGCTTTTGAACTGCTAAATTGATTGCTGTGATCTGGATAAGAATCTGTCTTTAGCTTCCTCTGTCATAATTAGCACTTTCAATAACAGTTTTGCTTTTTAGAAATTTCACTATAATAATTTGAAATTAATTTACACTTATCTGCTTTATTAATCACTCTCTGCTGCTAACACAGAAAGAATCTGAGGAAGGAAGCTGGGCCCAGGTAGGAAACTCAAATGCTTTAAAACAGTATCACTAGTGCCTTTTGAGGTTATAAAGTAAGAAACTGTTTTATATCACAATATTCTAAATCTTCCATTCACCTAAAATTAGGTTAACGTGCATTTATACTTATGCTTAATTATATATATCCTTTTAGATCACCATATTTTGCAAAGAGGATGATTATCATTTCACACCTGGCCTCTTTTTAAAGGGAACTCTCATTTATTCTTCAAAAGATTCGACTGTAACTTAAATTTCTCTGAAATTACCTGTGAATATATTTAATCAGGGATCATTCAAGTTGGATATAAGGGTGGGGGAAATTAGATGTGATTTGCTTTCAAGAATAGTGGGAAGTGTGGGAAGATTGGGGTGGGAGGGATTCTGTCAGCATTGCAATTGCAAGTCAAAAGCTTTTCCCATTTATTAGGATGGCAATAGAAGACACACATATTCACTTTGAGCAAGCATGTTCACAAGGAATTTGTGCATTTCCTAGTATTCCACATGCTGTATAGCTGAAAGAATTACAGTCATGTACCAACATTTTGGTCAGTGAACGGCTGCTTTTACAGCATGGCCTAGGTGTGCGGTAGACTGTACCCTCCAGGTTTGTGTAAGTACACACTGGGATGTTCCCAAAATGATGAAATCACCCAAGGTCATACTTCACAGAACCTATCCTCACTATCAAGCTGTGTAATGTGTGTTTTACTTAATGTGATTCAAACCTCAACTATAAGGAAAACTTCAGTAGTTATTATTAAGAACTACATTTAAACATTCAGTAAATTAGCACTGCATTAGGTTTTGATTTGATAAGAATGTCATCATTTTTAAGAATACACTAAAAAAAGGAAGCACCTAGATTTTTGTTAGAAATATACAATTCCAGTTGTCATGTGATAAGGACAAACACTATAAAATTAAGAGAGTAATAATCTTTACTAAAAATTGGTTTAAAGGTGATGTTTGCTTCTCCTTTTCATTTTGGCTCTTACAAACACCATTTGATAAGATCAGTTCATCTTATTATATTTAAGAATTGGATTACCATTTTTAGTTTTTGAAAATTCCCTTCTTTAAGTAAAGAGTCTATATAGATTGATTTCTAAAAAAAAAAAAAAAAAAAAAAAAAAAAAAGGACTGGTTCTTTCCAATCATATTTATGAAACACGGCTCATGCTTCATTAGGTAATGACAATTGTCCACCTAAGACTTCAGCATTCTGTCTCTCGAGCCTTGTTGCTCCTTTCTTATTCATGTACTGTTTTCTCTTTCACATCAAAACGATTTTCCATTATACCATAGCAATGTCACATCATCAAAGAGAAGCAAATGGTGGAGTATTAGCTAATTTGTCAAATAAAATAAATTAACTGAACCTATTTATATAAAGAACCCTTAAGCTCAGCATTTGTATTCTATCATTAATTCTAATTTTCATTTAAAAAAATGCACATTTGTATAAAATGTAATTCCTTTTGAGAATACAAAATGAAAAACATCATTTTCTATAGACAAGTGCCTTGTTACATGTACACGGAGTTCCACTTTGTATCAAAGTAAATTGCATCTTAAAGGTTAAATATTATTTCAGCCTTGTTTCCATATATCAGAGTAATTAAATATCAGCAATAATAGTAGATAGTACCCCCCAATTACCATCTCATTTTATTGGCTAAGAAACTTGACTGCTATAAAACAATTCTAGTGTCCGGTTTTCCTACAGACCCTGGCATATGGAGATATGAACCACGAGTGGATTGGAAATGAATGGCTTCCCAGCCTGGGGTTACCTCAGTACAGAAGTTACTTTATGGAGTGCTTGGTAGATGCAAGAATGTTAGATCATCTAACAAAAAAGGATCTCCGTGTCCATTTAAAAATGGTGGATAGTTTCCATCGGTAGGTCTCTTCCAAAGAGTCATTAAAATATAAAAAAACAATAATTAATGTACATATTTAAGCAGTGCATGACTGCTTAAATCAAAAAGAGATGTAACTAAGTCAAAAAGAAATATTTAAGAAATAAAGAGTATTTGTTGTTCCATGAACATCTAGTTAACAAAATATTTTCATGCAGCAAAATTTCAGGGCCTATCTAATGTACCACTGGGTGCATATTATGTGCCCAAAGCTTATCAAACTACACCTTATAAAATTATACAGCATAATTTTTATTTATCTTTGGAAATCTCATGTTTGTGATTTTGCCTATGTATGTTTTTATATTATAAAATTATTTATAAAGAATAAAACTAATTTAGTTTTAACTGTAAATATATGTTGTTACAAATTACATAACTTAGGGATATACTAGAAAAAAAATGATTCTGTAAAAAACACTTTGTGTTTTTGCTTTTGTATAAATCTTTTAGTGCTTTTACTCATTTGTACATTAATTTTAAGGGGGAAAATCCTGAATGGTTTATGAGACAGCTGTGAGGACACAGATGAATAAAATGCAATTTCTCTTTCAAGTTGTTTGCCATCGAGGCAGTAAAAACAGGCTTGCTATAATAGCATGTTATAAATGTTATGCTGCAGTTTGATACATTTAAGGGTTATGTGAAAAATTGTTAGTTGGATTATGTTTGTCTTATGTGTGGTTGATTAAAATGGTAAATTAATGAACATAAATATAGATGAATTTAGCTTTGGAAAGTATTTGGTCACATCCTGTCCAACAGTAAACTAGGGACTAAAAGGAAAATGATATAAAAATCAGATACACAGCCCTGCTCAGGTGGCTCAGTTGGTTGGAGTGTATTCCCATACCCCACAAAGGTTTCAGGCTTGATTCCTGGTCAAGAAACAAAGCTAGGTTGGGGGTTCAATCCCCAGGCAGGGTGCAGCTGATCAATGTTTCCATCTCACATGAGTGTTTCTCATTTTCCTCTCTCTCTTTAAAAATTTTTTAAAATCATATATGATGACATATAGTTAGTATAAAGAGATAATAATTGGGACTCTTTAATCAAAGGTATACAAATACTTTGAATATTAATAGAGTTATTAACACTGATGGATTAAATGAGGTACAGATAAATATAACACTTTTCTATTTATTGATAAGAGAGAGAGAGAGAGAGAGAGAGAGAGAGAGAGAGAGAGAGAGAGAGAGATATTGTTGCTCCACTTATTTATGTATTCATTGATTGAATCTTGTATGTTCCCACATCAGGGATCAATCCTGCAATCTTGGCATATGGGATAACTGAGCTACCTGCAAGGGACATAACATAGTTCTTAAAAACCATTAAAATATTGGATAGGAAATCCATGATTTAAAAACAGTTCAAGTGAGAAAGATATGTGACTTGTAGTTGACATAAATACCTCAGTTTGGGTTAATGACTCGCCAGGGCATATTTAGATTGTGTTTTTTGGCATGCATAAGAGTAGTCCTACCATATGGTCAGATGACAATGACAAATTGTATTGATTTACATAATTAAATTATTCTTGATAAAGTGATAAAAGTCTGGTGGAAAGGTTGAAGAAATTAAAGACATTTAACTTGGATATGGCAAGACTTCAGATAAGTTCTCTATGCTTGAATATACTTATGTGATAGAAGAATCATATTTGTTCTGTTGAACATGCATTTTTCTAGTTCAAACAGGTGTAGATACTAAGATGAGTGATTTGTGTGCAATAGAAACTTTGGATCACTCTCAGTTGCCCTACAGCATACACATTGTGAGATAATGAGTTCCCTGTCACTGAGCAGTTAGGCCCTCACATGTTGCATAGTTGCATTAGATCCTTGCATACTAGAATATTTGATGACACACTTGTATTTCTTCCAATTCTTTACTAGATCTACTTTTTTTTAGACCTACTTTTAATCACTTTATTATTATAGCAGAAATAATTATTATAATAATCAAGTTTTCTTTAAAAAAAAATTACTCAAATGGCAGGGTTCTGGTTTGTTCCAGACAGTAAATACACAAGCTTCATCTTCATTCTGTGCTTAGGTCTGATGTATAGCAGGTAGCACCTAACTGCATATTGCATCTCATGATCTTGACAGCCCATGGATGACAAGTCTGTCAGACACTGTTTTAATAAGATATATCCTCTTTATAGCACAACCTTATATGACATTTAAAATCTTGCCAGAAACTTGCCAAGAGCCATTGATTTAACTTCAAGCAGCCTGATGTCTATGATGTTTATTATATTGACATTTTATAGTATCCCACTGAGTTAATTTGCTAGGGTTGCCATAATAAAATCCTACAGACTGGGTGGCTTCAACAGCAGATCTTTATTTTCTCACAATTCTGGAATCATAAAATCTGGGATCAAGGTGCCAGCAGGATTGGTTTCCCCTTACATCGCAGATGGCAGCCTTCTCCTGTGTCCTCGCATTGTCTCTGCTTTGCGTTTGCACCTGCATCATTCGTCTGTCTGCCCAAATTCCCTCTTCCTGTGAAGACATCATTAGTCAGACTGGAATAGGGCTTACTCTAAAGGCTGTGTTTTAACTTAATTACCTCGTTTAAGATTCTATCTCCAAATACAGCCACATTCTGAAGTACTACTGGGTATTAGGACTTACATATAAATTTGGGGGAACATAATTCAGCCTATGATACCCAGTACAGATTTCATTTTCTAATTGTGAAATATTTTGAGCTCTACATTGTCTTTATTAAAGTGCAGAGTTTAGGATTGCATCCTAATTATGACCATTACACTTAGGTAACCTGGCCAATGTGTATGTATAAAATTTGTGCTTATTTCCAACACCTAAGAGATTACTAATGATCAATGTTCTTTCCTCTTGAAACTTGAAGATTCCTATTTTAGTACAGTCCTCCACATCCTTTATATCTGCTATTTCCAGATCTCCTCCTCTCTTCTCTCTAGACATTTCTGGTTTCTGGGCTTACCTTTCATGCCTGTGTCGACTGTATTACTATGACCATTATTTTGGCATCACTGGCACCTTAATTGAGTTCCTTGTCCCCTAGGTTTATTTATTTTTCTCATCTTCTATTTTGCTACCAGATTATTCTTTCTTAAACCAGAAATTTTTTTCCTCCTAATAAAATCTGTAACATCTGGGTGTATTCCACACTTACAATAAATGCAAAGCTTTCCTTAACAGAACTCTACTCTATAGAATATTATTTCTCTTGGCTCCCTACCATGGGTTTTAACCCCAGATAGTGTACCTGAGTATCACCAGGCATTTAAACTTTCATCTGCAGCCCTATGGTCATGATGCTTCATTTTCTTTAATAACTCTTTTTTTGCACCTGATTCTTTAAGGATCAGTTAAGCTTCTGCTCTTCATTCCAGAGTTCGAATATCTGTGGATTTGTTCCTTTCACATACTTTCTGTATCACTTAGAGTTGGTGGCTGTTCATCTTAGTATTTGGTTATCTCATCACTTCACTTATTCATATTTTTATAATTCTGTCCTCATTAGCTTTAAAAGAGAAAATAAATTTCACATATATTCTTTTCTGACTCCATAATAGTGACTCTTCAAATTATTTTCAAAAGAGTGACATGTTCACTTGTCAATATAGCCTAATGGAAGACAAAAGCATATGAATAAATGACATAATCCATAATTATTTTCATGGCTGTACTTTTCTCATTTAGCAAATATTTTTTTCTTTAGAAACACTGTGTGCTTAGTTAGATAACTGTAATTTTATTTTCCTGCAATACTAAATAATTTAATTACAGATGTAGTGTATTAACCAGTTGTCCTAAAAGTAGTGCACACTGTTGACTGCTTAATCAAGGAACATTCTTCATCTGCTGAGATATTTAACATGTTTTTACTTTAAAAAATAACAGAACAAGTTTACAGTATGGGATTATGTGCTTGAAAAGGTTGAATTATGACAGAAAAGAACTGGAAAGAAGACGAGAAGCAAGCCAACATGAAATAAAAGGTAATATACTTTCTTTCATCTTAGATGCCTTTTTGGTAGAAGGTGGTTAGCTTTCACTTTTATAAACCTAAAATGCTGTGTGTTTTACAATGATCATTAAGTAACCTAAGTGTTTGGCTAGAATTGTGTCATCATTATTTCTTTTTCATTAGTTTACTGATTAAAATACAGAAAAGAGTATCATATTTTTGCAAGGTAAATATCTCATTTGGTAAATATCTCAAATGATCTTTTAAATTGAAATGTATTCCTCTAAACTTATTAATTATACATTCTGGGTTTTTTTCTAAAGGTGCCTTCATATAGATATTTTTGTTAAACTTTTAATAGAACATTCTCATTATGATTCAGAGAAATATGGTATATAATTTATTTTTTGTAATTCACCTTTGGTTTCTATCATTTGAATTTAAGGAATACCACTTTCTAGTTTTCTTTCTGAAGTATATTTTCCTGGTAAATTTTATTTATGCTTGGTCTCACCACATGTAATATTCATATATAGATAGACATAAAGAAGAAGAATTACCCATTTGGCCCTACATCAAATATTGTATTAGTATTTGACAGTTGCTGTTTAAAGTGTAGCTCTGAGGAAAATAAACTTCCATAATTCATTAAGATTAAACACAGTCAACTTCCTATGATAAGTAGCTGTGAGTGAGATTATAAATAGCCCCTATTTCCTGTAACTGATCTGATGACATTTACAAGAATAACTCTTGACTGTGACTAGGGGATCTCTGTTATTATCTGAAGTGTTAATTAACCTTGACCTTAATAAACAGCTTTCAAAAGTGAAGAGACCGTGTGAATATCAAGAATGTACTAACATTTAATTTGTTGCCAAGAAACAGTCAGCTCTGATTTCTGGCCATTTATTGTTTAGGTCCAGGAGGGTCTCTAAAAAGATTTAAAGACAGAACATAAATTTTGCTTAGAAACAGATTTATACAAAGGGATTTGATTTATAAAATGGAAAAAAAAGATATATTGCTGTTCTGAAGAAGAAGAGTTTAGATTATTTGTTTTCAACCTATAAATAAGTGACTTATTTTATATACTTGATGACTCTTAACTACAGTTGCGGCGATGGAATTTTTGACTAGACATATTGACACGGGTGTTCAGGGGTCCCAGAACCCAAAGGTCCATCACCCACTGTGGGTGCTTGGTTTCCTGCAGGAAATAACTCAAAGGCTAGCCAGTGTGGAGTTTAAAGGGGAAGAGAGCTTATTAGTGAAGTAGTGAGATAGACTGAAGGCTACTTCACAGAGGGTTACTTTCTTTTGCTCCCAGTAAGATTTATTTCATTCATTGAGGCTCATTTAAGTGAGAGGCAGGGCATTCAATAAGGGGGAGGAGTATTCAGAAAATTTCCGGGAAAGAGTGGAGACTTATTGGAAGAGCACAGTTGGCCATTCTGTGTCTATTTGGGCTTTCCGATTCCTATCACTATAGTATGACTTTTAGTAGGTTAATGTATTGCAATGAGCAAATAGTGAGGCTAGGGGTTATCACAGGGTGGAATTAGTCACTTGTTTTGGATTGAGCTGGTTCTAAACCATAAATCTGTTGGGGGTGGGGTCTCACTATCTCTGAGATAATCTTGGTAGCCCTTATGGGTTACAGCCATTTCACCACATACTCTATCTCAATATATTTGATTAAAAAAAAATGGTGACTGTTTAATATTCTTAGACTATCAAAATATAAACCCAGCTCTAAAAAAAGAACAAACTCTTCCTATTTACAATCCATTTAGTAGAAAGAAACATGGAAAGTTTTATTGTTTTCTTGAGAAAACTATTATCCTGTGAGTTTTTTAAAATGTTGCATTTAGTGAAAACAACCGGATAACCATTGCTATCAGCTGTACATATCTGCCCAACTTTTGAAGTGCAAGTGTGCTGTACTCAAGCATTAGAACTGATCAGTTGCTATCAACAGTAGCAGATTAATATAACCAAAGTATAATGCTAACCAACCTACATCCTATATGCTGGCCAGAGGTCAGTGATCATAGCCAGTCCTTGCGACTGAATGGCCTGGGAATAAATCCCTCCCACTGACTTGCCAAGCAATCAAGGCTTAACTACAAGAGGACAGTGAACACAGCCCTCATGAGGGATTCACTTCGAGTAACCAGCTGGACTGATCTGTGAGGTAGTGCCACTGGACTGTGCAGGACACCTACTACCGTAGGCCACTCTGTAAAGCTCTCCCTAATACATAGACACAAACACAGGGAGACTGTGAAAATAAGGAGACAAAGAAACATACCCCAAATGAAAGAACAGAATAAAACTATAGAAAAAGAACTAAAAACTTGAGGACAAGCAATCTATTAGATGTAGACTTCAAAACAGTGCTTTTCAGGATGCTCAATGAACATAGTAAGAACCTCAACAGCCTAAAAAAGACCAGTCATAAATGAAAGATATGCTATCTAAGCTGAAAAGATGAAAAATAATGTATTAGAAATGCTAGCTAAGATGAAAAATAATGTATTAGAAATCAATAATAGAGTAGATAAAGCCAAGAATCAAATTCACAATTTGAAATATAAGGAAGCAATGTATGGGAAATTTTAATAATGATAATAAAAGCAATAAATAGTAATGTCTGTGGAATTTGAATTTCATATAGAAATAATAGATAACAACTATAATGCAAAAGGCAAGAAGGGAATAAATTAAATTAAATTGTTCTTTTCATTATCTAGGAGTGATAAAAGTACTGATTTGTAGTAGATTACAAATCAAAGATGCATATTACAGGCTTTAAAAGCTAATGAAGTGGTAAAATAAAATAAATTTTAAATGACTTAGCTTGTAAAAAGGCAAGGAAGGAGAGAAAAAGAACAAAAGACAGGTAAGGCAAATTGAAATATAGTATATTTAAACTCAAATATCTGAACAATAATATCAAGTGAAAGGGAATTAACTAATTTGATTAAAGAAACCATTGAAAAAATTAAAACGATTATATGCTCTTTCCAACCATAAATACAACTTCATAGGGAAGGCGATAAGCAAGCACTAAGGAAAGCTGCTGTGTTTTTTCTACTATCAGAAGATAGAATTTAAGGCAGGAAGCATTACTAAATATAAAATGGGTATTTTATAATAAAAGGGAAGATGTGGCAAATTTATATGCATGTGATATATAGACTTAAAATAGGAAAAGCAAAATCAGACAGATCTAAACATAGAAGTAAAAAAAGAATTAAACAAATGGGGACAAGTAATCTGTTAGATGCAGAATTCTAAATGGTGCTTTTCCTAATCATAGTGGGAGAGACTAAAAATATGAGAAATTGATCAAATCAGGTATTAAAGATATGGGAGATTTGGAAAAATATGTTTAAAAATTTGAACCTAGCCGAAACCGGTTTGGCTCAGTGGAAAGAGAGTTGGCCTGCAAACTGAAAGGTCCCAGGTTCAATTCCGGTCAAGGGCATGTACCTTGGCTGAGGGCATATCCCCAGCTGGGGGTGTGTAGGAGGCAGCTGATCGATGTTTCTCTCTCATCGATGTTTGTGACTCTCTATCCCTCTCTCTTCCTCTCTGTAAAAAATTAATAAAGTATATATTTTTTTAAAAATTTGAACCTAGCCCTAGCCAGTACACAGTGGTTATAGCATTGGCCCTTGGATTAAAGGGTCCCAGGTTGCAGGCTTCATCCCCACTGGGGCATATGGGAGAGGCAACCAATTGATGTGTCTCTCTCACATCGATGTTTCTCTCTGTGTGTCTTTCCCCCTCCCTTCCATTCTCTCTAAAAATCAATGGGAAAAATATCTCCAGGTGAGGATTAACAAAAAAATTTGAACCTAATTGAGATGAAGGAACCTCTATGGAGCTGAGGCATCACCATCATTTTATGGCTTTAATGTTATACACAAGAAAACCTCACTTGGTTAAATGAATGCATTAAGACAAATTAGTAATGCCTTCGAAAAATGTTGTATATAAATACACTTTCTCACCTTCCCTTCAAAAAATACTACCTTGCTTTTTTAAATGGGAGACATTGAAAACTAATTTTCAAAATACCTTTTTAGAAAAAGTATAAACTTTTTCTAAAAGGTGTACATTTCATTTAGAAAAAAAATGAACAGAAAAATGTACTTTTACTGTAATAATAATTTATGAGTTTTACTTGCCTTTCTATAGGATTTAGGAAAATGTTTCCATTCCTTTTTCTAATTTTCTCTTAAGTTCCTTACATTTTTTTCCTATGGAACAATCTATTCTTTCTATTTTGGTCATTGCTATGTAGCATTTTGTCAACTCATAATGGGAAGAAATGGAAAAAAATACACCCTTATATGTTTTCCTCTTTAAAAAAGGATTTATGATATTTTTCCCTGAAGGTTTTAGTTTCAGAAAATAAAATTTACTGTGTTTCATACCTCAGTAAAATACAACTTTTTAAGCTAATAGGAAAATCAACTTGTGATTTGACTGAGTGATTGATTTTTGCATTAGTATGTGATTTTAAATAATGAATTGCCAGATTAACGGGGAAGTATAAAAGTAGTTAGTTCTTGTTTTATATTACTGTTCTGGTCTCCGATTTATTACTTCCGGTGGGGAAAAAAGAAGTATTTTCTAGTCTATTGGAAATGTTTGCATAGTGGTTAAAAACTCTGATGAAGACCCTTTCTAGGTTCTCGTTTTGCTCTCTTTACTGAAGCCGTGTATCAAGAAATATCCCCATCTGGTGGCAAAAATACTGAACTTCAGACAGACCCTGGAGCTTCTAAGTGAAAACAAGACACACAGACCTTGTGTTCCATGTGATGGAAGGGCTCTCATATTAGTGACAATAAACTCTTAAAAGTGACAATTTTTTATAGGTTAAAAGTGCAAACGCTTCATTGTTAGAAAAGTAAATACATGCAACCTAAAGGGTCCAGCCAGGTTGGGAGTGGACAGAGAAATTGGCATAAATGCTGACTTGGCCAGAATGCCTGTGGCCCATTTCAGCCAGTAATTTTGTTTATTATGCAAAATATTGCAGCCGAAAATGATGCACCTCTTTTCCTAGATGTGTTGGTATGGAGCAATGACCGAGTTATTCGCTGGATCCAAGCAATTGGCCTTCGAGAATATGCAAATAATATCCTTGAGAGTGGCGTGCATGGATCACTGATCGCCCTGGATGAGAATTTTGACTACAGCAGCATGGCTTTGTTACTGCAGATTCCAACACAGAACACCCAGGCAAGCCCTCCGAGCTGCAGGCAGTGCCTCATTTACATCACAGCAAGCAAAACTTTGGGGGGGGAGGGGAGGTATTAATGATTCCTAAGGAGACAGCTCAACCCTTGAAATATGTCACTGGGGCTTTCATTTCAACTTACTGAATTTCTATCCAAAACATTATCATACAATTAAGCTGGAAGGCATGTGGAGGTTATGTGGTCCAACCTGGCACCTGAATGCCAGATTCCCCAAAACAATGTCCCTGACAGATGGCCTGGGTCTCCGCCTCCCTGCAAGGCAGTCATTTCTATTTACATATCTGGGTTATACAGACATTTAGCATTGGGGATGCCATGGATTCCCAAATCGGGATAATTGTTTGAATCATCGGAGTTCCTTAACATTTTTAAGTAAATTCTATAGCCTATATTACAGGCCTAATAAATCAGGTATCAAAGAGATTAGTCACAAGAATCTTACCTAAAGTTTCCTCAAATGGTAATCATTGACCAGGTTTGAGAACTTCCTGCACAGACTTGTCCAAAATTCGGCACACTAACTTCACTTTTTATTTTGTTTTTTATGCCTTTCAAATTTTATAGAAAAGTTTCTGTTTCAATAAAGTAGCCAAGAGAGGACATTTGTGTGAGGCTATTTCTCTACTGTTCATAGATGCAAGCAAGTTGCACTACCTTTTGTTTATAGGTTAAATTTATAATGGCTTGTAGATATGGAGGAATAAAAACTTAAGACACCATAAATGAAACAGGGTTTATAATGCTTTCTCAGATACATAGAATGTCTATTTTTTTTAAAATGCAATGTGACTTCAGTGTTGGTGACTGTTATTTGATGTCAGCAGGCGAGGCAGATTCTGGAAAGGGAATACAATAACCTCCTGGCTCTGGGCACCGAGCGCCGGCTGGACGAGGTAAGTCCTTATCTGTCATTCAAAAGGATCCTGTGAATACAAGCAAAACGGCTCTCCAGGAATAGTACCCCAAAATTAATCAGATGCTTGCTCCACGGATAGGATCTAGAATTTTTCCCAGCATTGTTCCTAAATATTACGCTTTATTACTCATTTTATTTTTGAAAGAACTTCATGAAGTCATGAATATCATATCTACAGTTAGGAACACTAAGATGCAATTCAAAACAAGGCTGCTTTTCATGAGCTGTGAATGCAAAATAACATTAAGCAACATCTTTTAAAAAATTGTAAGTAATGATCACACCAATTCTAATAAATTTTAGCTTTTAATAAGAAATGTGCTTATATCTTAAATATCAGAATATATTCACAGATAATTTTAGGATATTAAAATGAAGAGAACATCTTTGAATACATGGGGAATTTTTTTTTATATACATAGCAATAGTGAGTCTTCCTTAAAAATATACGAATAACATTTTACCAGTTGTAGGATCTGAGTGTAAGAATCCCTATAAATTATATTTGCATGTTTAAACCATTTGAAAAATAATAAACAACTAAGTAGCCTTCTTAGATGAAGAAATACAAGGGACCTGGCAGAATAGCTCAGTGGGTGGAGTGTCATCCCGAAATGTCAACCCTGCAAGTTTGATCCCTCGTCCGGGCACAGACAATAAGCCAATAAATTCAAAAAGAAGTGGAACAACAAACTTATGTCTTTCTCTCATTTATGTCTCTCTCTCTCTCTCTCTCTCTCTCTCTCTCTCTCTCTCTCTCTCTCTCTCAAATCAGCACATTAAAAAGAAAGTGTAGCCGAAACACTTGGCTCAGTGGATAGAGCGTCAGCCTGTGGAATGAAAGATCGCAGGTTCTATTCCCGTCAAGGGCATGTACCTTGGTTGCAGGCACATTCCCCAGTAGGGGGTGTGAAAGAGGCAGCTGATTGATGTTTCTCTCTCATTGATGTTTCTAACTCTCCATCTCTCTCCCTTTCTCTCTGTAAAAAAAAAATCGATAAAATACATTTATTAAAAAAAAAGAAAGTGTATTTTTAAAAAATAAAAGAAAGAAAGAAAAGTGACATTAGCAGACTCTGCTGATAGTCACTGTGGACTTTAATAGCCCTGAGTTTTACACTTAGGTCTCTTAGGAAGCAGTGAGGAAACTGAGCTTGAAGAGATGCGTAATTGTGTGTCACAAACTGCAGCTCTTTCTTGGCTACAAAGAAAAGCTGATTAAAATAGTTTTGTGAATGAACCAAGAAAACTCTAACATGATGCAATAATTCCACATCTAAATGGACAGGCTGATAATGTTGGTATTATAAACCCCAAACGGTCTTTGTGGAGAAGGTTGCAGGCTGGTAAACTCTACAGTTCTGACTTCAGCTAACTCCCTATAAATTCATACTCCTGTCCAATCAGGATAATGAGTAATATTTTTTAAAGCCAGCTAATATTTAGTTGGCTAAGTAGATTGCTAATCTTTTAATTCCTTATTAATTACTGAATCAAAGATAGTCTGTATACACCCATACACACTTTTAAATACAATATTCTTCTTGCTTAAAATTTTCAAAAACTTTGTAATAAAAAGTATTAAGGGCCTGCCATGTTGCTGCTGCATTTTAAAATGCAGACTGAGCTGAAGGAGCTGTCTGGTAGGGATTATAGCCTGGGTGATTGATAGAGCTGATTTCTGAAAGTAACAAGAGGAAAGTCCTCAATCAGATGTGGTTATTTGCCTTTAAATCATATAGCTGCTTCTTATTGTTAAAGACATAGCAAATGATTTTATCATTCAAACCCTCTATTCTCTTCTGTCCTATTTCTCTCTCTCTCTCTCTCTCTCTCTCTCTCTCTCTCTCTCTCTCTCTCTCTCTCTCTCTCTCTCTCCTTTTTGAGTATAAACAAATGAACTAAACAGCTTGCCTACAACCAGAGTAGACTTGTTGGTGGGGTTGATCACATTCAGATTCAACTGAAATAATTTGAGAACTCATGTGTTTCTACAGACTCTGACTTCAATGAGAGGATATATTTTAACCTCATCTCATGGATTTTTCCCATGATGTAGCCACTTTATTGTTCCCATTAACTTTCTGCAGTAACACTATGTGGAAAGAGCAGAAGTCAAGAATCATGATTTAAATTCTTAAATGGATGGCTTAGTTTTGAGCCCTTCACTCATACATTATCAGAGTTATTATTCCTACAATGGAAACTAGTGTTATACAGAACTGAAGAATATCTGTGTTGATGCAACAACTTCTCCAAGACTCAAGAAGTCAGAGAGGCCACATCTGTGAAACGTTGCTTCTTAGCTACATCCATGAACATTTGGAGATTTAGGTCAATGTAAAACCAGATAGAGGAGGAGTTGCAGACATTTCTCAAACTGTAAAATGTTTACCAACTCTAAGCAAAATTTTAATGTTGATAATAAGAATTCTAAGAGAACAGTGGATATATTAATTACAAGTGACCTTGTGTGTCATTAATTAAATTTACAATCAATGATGAAAAATCCCCTTTAGTGTTACTTACTTATAACAGTGGTGATTTCAGCTGAATGTCAATCATTCCATATGTTAAAATGAAGTTACCTGAGTTACTGGTTCAAGCATGCTTTCTTAGCTATAACTTCAAGGAATACACAGTCCTTCCCTAGATGAGAAATTTAGTAATATAAGAAGATAAGATCTATGTTGGATGACTAATATTTTCCTTAGAATTAGATAAAAGAATGATATTAATTAAATGTTAAATTATATATTGGTGCTAATCAATGTAGAGAAAAGAATTGTGTCTGTGCAGGTACTTTGTGTATGCACAGAGAGGGGGAAAAAAGTATCATCCATATATAATAGAATTAGCAACCAGAGTTACATTATGCTTTTAGTGGCATCTAAAGGGAATATGCATTTATTATAATGACGGAGGCCCAGTGCACAAAATTTGTTCACGGGGGGGGGGGTGTGGGGGGGAGGCGGAGAGGGGTTGTCACTCAGCCCAGCCTGCACCCTCTCCATTTTGGGACCCTTCTCACAATCCAGAATTGTTGGCTCCCAACTGCTCACCAGCCTGCCTGACTGATTGCCCCTGCTTCTGCCTGCCAGACTGATCACCCCCTATCCACTCCCCTGCCAGCCTGATCACCCCCTAACTGCTCCCCTGCCAGCCTGATCATCCCCTAACTGCTCCCCTGACAGCCTGATTGCCCTTAACTGTCCTCTCCTGCAGGCCTGATCTCCCCCCTACTGCCTTCCCCTGCAGGCCTGGTTACCTCTAACTGCCCTCCCCTGCTGGCCCTGTCACCCCTAACTTCCCTCCCTTGCCAGCCTGGTAACCCCCAACTGCCCTCCCCTGCAGGCCTGGTGCCCCCCACCAACTGCATTCCCCTGCTGGCCTGGTTCCCCCTAACTATCCTCCTCTGTTGGCCCAGTCACCCATAACTGCCCTCCCCTGCAGGGCTGATCACCCACAAATGCCCTCCCTTTTAGGCCTACTCCCTCTCAACTGCCCTCCCCTGCCAACTATCTTGTAGCAGCCATCTGTGTCCACTTTGGGTCAGCCATCTTTGACCACATTGGGATGGCCATGTTGTATGTTGGAGTGATGGCCAATTTGCATATTACCTCTTTATTATATAGGATGTTGCCCAGGCTGCACAGGTTTTTCAACAAATAAAAAATTAATTCTATATCCTCTAAAATCTAACAAGTGACAAACTGAGTTTTTTACATAGAATATGGGTGATAGTATCCAATATGAGCCAGGCTATGTCAAATATAGATTCCTATAACATATATATCTTGTACACATAGAAACAATATTTTAAAATAATTATTCCAGTATATGATCCAACACTTATTTTACTAAGTATATTGTACATAAAACCTGTTGGCATAAAGTGCAACAAAGTGTAATTTTGGGGAAAATGTTGGGGTTTTATTTTAGGTTTTCAAAGATGTTTCCTTTTATAGATGACAAACACTGGATTTGAAATCATATGAAAACTTTATAAAAACATTTGTTTCAAATTTCCTGCATTTTCATTTTATAATCAAATTAAGCATTACAAGAAATCCATGCACTCGAGGGGCAGGGAGGCATTCCTCAGCCCGGCCTTCACCCTCTTGCAGTCTGGGAGCTCCCTTGGGGACCAGGCCTAAGCCGTCAGTAGACCTCTTTAGCTCTGCTGTGGAAATGCGAGAGGCTCCTGCCACCGCTTTTGTGCTCACCAGCTGTGAGCCTGGTTTCTGGCTGAGAGGTGCTCCCCATGTGAGAGCACACTAACCACTAGGGGCAGCTCCTGTGTTGACCATCTGCCCCCTGGTGGTCAGTGCACATCATAACAACTGGATGTCCAGTCGACTGCCCCCAAGTGATCAGTGGATGTCATAGCCAGCAATTGAGTGGCCTTAGCTTATCATTAACATATTACATTTTTATTGATTGAACGGATGACCAGACACTTAGCATATTAGGCTTTTATTATATAGGATACTTGATGGGCTGAATGTAAATAATCAATGTTCCATGTTTTAACTCTGTACTGGCAGACAGATGACAAGAATTTCAGGCGTGGATCAACCTGGAGAAGGCAGTTTCCTCCCCGTGAAGTACATGGGATCAGCATGATGCCTGGGTCCTCAGAAACATTACCAGCCGGATTCAGGTTAACCACAACGTCTGGGCAGTCAAGGAAAATGGCGACGGATGGTACAGATGTTTTGCATTTCTGCTTATAAAGTGAAAAGCTCGTTTAGTAAATGCTAGTATCATTCTCTGACCTTGCATAGCTTTTTGGAATTGTTTTAAGTTGGTTTGCTCTGCTTGAAGTTTGCTTTGCTTTCATCAGAACAGACTCTTTTGCAAACTGCTAATGCATGAGCTCATGGCACCTTATTCACATTTAAACAATGATTTATAATATCCTAAAAAGAACAATGTTGGCTAATGTTCACATCTAGGAAGAAATAATAAGCATCAGCATGATTTGTGTTTCTTTTCTATTCCTTAGATAAATAATGTGCTTAATTAGAGGTAGTAAATGGAAATTAACTCCATTATCATCCACATATTCAAATATTTCAAGTTTTATGTTACCTTAGGAACTCAGACTCATCAGATACTCTCACCTTTGACCAAGGTAGAAGGCCATAAATAAACAAGCACAAGCATGAGAAGAGAATTAAACACAAAACCAGCAGTCATTTCCCAATGAGCATTTTCTTCTATGGACATTAGAATAGTGTTATTTACTTTCATATATATATATTTCAGGAGGAGAGACAACTAGGCATGTAGTCACAACGTTATTTCTGTTTGATAAACATTAAAAGGCAAATAGCCCCACTCTAGTTCGGCAATCACCTGGAACTGTTTCTTCCCAAGTTGACAGTTACCATGGCCTTTAAAATTCATTCCCACATGAACTATGACCTCTGAGACACATGTTTTCTAACTTGTTAATATTATGGAACAAGCTAGCAAAATTTATGAGTGGTTTAACATAATTAAAATCCGTGTAGAACCCCTTCAATACTCTGCAGGGAAAACACTCGCCCTACTACGTTCTCCACGAGCCATCTTTGCTGCAAAAGCAGAGGGGCCCCGGGGAGCTGCTCTTGTTGCAGATTTCACCTCAGGAGAATGCACAGCCTGAAAGCTCAGTTGAACCACACTGGAATAGATTTTCATTAGTGTCTTGGTCTAGAGAAAAGAAATGCGAGTGGCTTACATCTGAGAGAAAGAGTGTCTACTGATAAGGTCAGGCTCCCTTTATACAGGCAAAAGCAATCTTTCTCATCTGAAAATTTGTGCTCAATCGTCCAAGTCCCTCTAAAGCCCTTTTCTCCATTTGCAGTTGCCTCTTCAAGACTGCAGAGGTTAGACAACTCCACTGTTCGCACATACTCATGTTGACAAGCCACTCAAAGGAGGCAGCACTGACTTGCTGTGAGTAGTTTTCCCTGGCTGACAAAAACCAAACCACCACAAAAATGGAACCTACATAGTCTAGTAACTATACACAATACTCTTTGGTATGGCCTAGCAGAACAGAGGTGAGATAACCCCTTTGAATTGCTAGAGGGTGGAAAGGACTCTATATTTTAACTCTTCATCTAGGATTTTCTATCACCATCTGTCTGCTGTGGGTCAAGGTCTGTTTGTCTGTTGGAGGCCTGTTACTATCTTCGTACACACCAATGGGTTGCTACCACAGTCTTCTACTTTATAGTAGTATATTATATTGACACTCATAGCAATATTCATTGATGAGAGTTTGGCGCTTATAGAAAAATACTTTTAAGTGAGTATTTTAATAGGGGAAGCTGAAATACATAGGGAGTGATTTTCAGAGCCAAATAGTGGCAGAGACAGGAAAATGATCTGGAGATGGTTTCATATTAAAAACAAAAACATAACTGAGAATTTTGAACTTCTAGTATGTTATTTTTCACCACTATGATTTTATGTTTGTTGAAATTAAATATGGATTTTAAGTATCTCGGGCTTAAAGCATAGGAACAAAGTTAAATTACTTTGTAAGAATTGTGGACAGGACTAACAGAAAACTGTGAAATGTAATCATAAGGTGTAAGGCATGTATATTTAGAGATATTACTTGGTGGAATTGACTTGCAAATCTATACCAAAATGGAGTTTCATTCACAGTCTTGGAAAAACTGTGGCTTCCTAGATTATAAATGTCAAGTGCTCACAAAACATTTTTTAACCTACAACTGTACTTTACCAAAATACTTTACCATTCACAATAAATTAATATCTTGGAAAAATACTTTGTAGAGCAACAATTAGAAGAAAATGTATGCATAGAGAAGGGAGAGGAAGCAGTTATAGGCAGAGGAACAGCTCATCTTGTGCTGTTTATTCATTGCCTTGAACAAAAAGCTCCACACAACTTATTGTTGGTCTTTGGGGCCTAATTTGGGAGCTGATATGTTGCCTTATTTAGGTCACTATTTGAAGCTGCTGCTAATAAAACAAAAAACCTTCAGATAAGAGATTTAATTTCAGAATATAAAACCCTAACATTAAAATTTTAATTGCAGCATGCAATTTGGCATCTAATTGGGCATGATCTAAAGTATATAATAATTTGGCTAATTTGGCTAAATGAGAAGCTTTTTAAAATACTGTTTGGAATAGCTTCTATATATAACATAATTCTCCCAGAAATGAATACTTCACTAAGTCACAAATGTCTACTTAATATGTTGAGTAGTGCTTGCTTAACTCTTGACTGATGGGTAGGATAACTCTTTAACTATTTGCAATCTGTATTTTGTGCATGGCATTCAAGTTCATATTTTTTAGTTTTTACCATTCAATGGGAAAAAGCTTCTTACTTACAATAGGTTAATCTAGAACAACCAATTTTTATTTTGACACATTAGCAATTTTGTCATTAAAATAAAATACATTATTTTCTGTCAGGAATAGTAATTGTGGACTTTTCCTAAAAATATTATGATAGGGAAAAAAAATCAATGATGCTACATCCCTGACCCAGATCCTTTAAAATTTATTATTATATTATTGCCATAATTAAACCAACATATCTCCAAAAGAGCTCTAAAATATATGAGCTAGAATACAAATCTATTCCAAGGAATATGTCAACTACGCCCTATTATTAAGCAAGCTGTAAATATTTCAAAGGGGCTGCTGACATTTTCTTTGAACATATTTTTTTTTAAATATAAATTCCCATCATACTTTCCACAGAATTGAGCAAATGTTATTTATTAAGCTTGCCTGCACAGAATTGGAGAAGAGCAAATGTTCATTACATATAGCTGTTGGTTACATCCTAGATGATATCCTGTTCATTTTCTTAGGACATAAGGAGGCAGGCTGCATGGCGGCAGCAGGTGTAACGGGGAAGGGGACTTTTCGGCCTGGGACCTAACTAACAGTAAACTAACGCTGTCCATTGAACATTCTAGATGTCGTCTTTTCGGTCTACCCTACCTAAAGTGCACTACCATCCAAGAAGACGAGCAGTGAACACCTTTGTGAAAACTGAATTCTAAGGAAATAACCACATGTAATGGTTTATTAAACTGAAAATGTGATTTTGGGGGGAGTCAGATATTATGTTTGATTAGTTCACTACAGTTGTAAGAAAATGCTTGTCATTTGAATAATAAACATCATCCACATCATAACTTCTGTACAACAGATGCTTTTATGAAATGGAGCCACCTGTTTTTTCATGTTTTATTGTAATATACTAGGCATTTATGTATTACTGTGTATGTATTTCTTTTTAACTGTGTAAGTCTTATGTAAATGGATATAAATATGATTTTTTTAAAAATAAAATATATGGTTCATGGAGTCTCAAGTGCAAACATTTGACAATACCAAGTACTGTTTGTATTTTACCATTCCACCATTTTTACAGTTTTTGAATTATAACGGTCAAATTGGTATGTTTCCTGGAAGCATGTTTCATGCCTCCACATGTTTCACCTTCAAAGTCTGTCAATACTTAAAGCTGAAAACCTGCCTCTGATCATGTACAAAAGAATGATTTAACCTGGAACTGGAGCCAAAAATAGACCTTTCAAGGCAATCAGGGATGTCCTCTTCTCTTTAGATATAGCACTGTGACGGCTCGATCTCCTTTTCAATACAAGACAAAACCAAACTGTTTACAAGAGTCAAAAAAAATATTTGAAAAGATTTATAAAGACACAAAAACATTCTTCTCTTGTTACCTGTGGACCAATAATTTTTTTTTTCTTTACTAAGAACCACATGTCCATTAAATACCTTAAACCGCCAGCAAGAACTGTTCAGTGAAGGCCAACCACTGCTAAGTCCCAGGCTCATTTCCGCTGGAAGAAAGCAAACCCCCACAGCCCTCCCCTGTCAGTATACCAGGGCGATAGCCAGTTCTGTCCAATGTCATAAGCTTTCAGCCGAGATGGCCTTGTTTCGACTTCCCTGAAGTCAGTCTTATCAGAGGAAATAAATGGAAGACAGAATGATTAACATATACAGTGTATAAAGTATAGAAGAGTAAATCTCTTCCCTGTGGCTTTATTTGGTGGTGTTGCTGTTGTTTATTCTTTGTTTATAGGGGAGATTTCAGAGTAAAACCTATTTAAGAAAACATTTATCTATCTGCTGATTTTCTGCTGTTTGATCTTATTAAGTGCAAGACCTGTCATGAGTAATTTCATTTTTTTGTATTTAATTTGCTATGTTTGCACGTACATTACATTTGTTTTGATGTCTGTTTTTGTTTAAACAGATTCAGTCATGAAGTAATGGTAACAAAAGCCCTCTCCATTGTCAATAAAAAAGAATACTTCCAACCCTCTGTTTAAGCTTTGTTTTCTAGTCACGTAAAGTTGAACAATTTACTGAAAATCATTCTTGTAGTAGGGAATCTCCTCAAAAGTGAGTCAGCCACAAGGGGGAGTACTAAACTTGCTTATGAGAGTGATTTTACAATCTGAAAATGTTGCCTGGGCAGAAACAATGGAAAAGAGCTCTTTCAACTCATCTGAACATGGGGCTGCTGACTCACAGAAGTGAAATGTAATATAAAAACTATATTATAACAATATAAACTACATTTGTATCTACTCTTAATCAGGATTTAATCACGGAAGTTTCTCCCTTTTAGAGATGACAAGCAAGAAATAGTAATCATTTATAACAGACTCCAATATATAGGGATAAAAAAGATCCAGCTATGTGCCTCATAAAAGCATAAAATATTCTTTAATTTACAGGATATCTGTCAGATTCTAAAATCTATTCAATCCACTTAAAATCCATTGAATGACCATCTAGCAATATTATACATTTTCACATAATAATCTAAGTCTTTACAAATATAGTTTTATATAAATCAAACTGCTTTTTAATTGAAAAACAGATCTTAATTGTATATATCCAATATATTTTCATGAGCAAAATAACTTGAAAAACACTTCTATAGATTTTAAAAGAAAATATTTATATTTTAATTTTTCCAATGTCTTACAGTAAAAAAATTATGAAAATATGAAAAATCATACAGAATTTATTTAATCAAATTTAAATATGATTGCATTTTTAGTAACATTATATATATGTTATTTTTAAAGGTACATTTAATTTGGAATATTTTAGGTACTATGTAGTAAAAGTGCTTTATTATATAATATAAGTATTAACATAGAATACCCCTCCCCCCCAAATTTTAAGCAATCTGATGACTTGAGTGCCTTTCTGGTCCCATAATTATTAGTGTAAACGTGACATCCTCTGACCCTGCAAAGGAGATATGTTTCCTCAACCAGAAACAAGAAAAAGCTGCTTTCCCAGTCTTGTGCATTGTTTTATTCTCACTCAACTAGAAAATAGCTCCAGCCTGCTTCTGAAGTGTCCCTTCCAATGTGATTACCAGGGAAAATGTGCAAGAGATCAAAGGTGTAACTCTTTACACACTACTTACATCTGTGTAATATACCTTGAGTTTATTATACCTTGCAAATGATACAGTTTTAGATAAAGAATTCCATCTCAAATTAACTGAATCTCACATGAAAAAATAAGGTAATACAATTAAATGCTAAGACATAACAAATGGTCTATTTGTACCCAATATAAGCTACACTTTAAGAAACTCAACAGTTTCAAATTATAAATTGCATGTCTGTCTAGTTGGTTAACTGAGGCTACTAAAATAATTAACAAAACAACTAGATGAATATAGTTTTTCCAGATGTAACCATCAAAAAGCCAATTTAAGCAAATAGAAATTTACTTGTAGAAGTCATTTATTTGAATAGTCTATGGTCCAAGTAAAAAGCACACATTTTCAAAATGTCTTTATACAGTTTGTAAGCAATTTTATAAAACAGAGAAGTAAATATTTTCTTTATCTAATATCTCTGACATATATTTCATATACCCAGACTTTCAAATGGGAAGCAGCTGTTCTTCACAATAATGTTCCTGATGGACTGAAAGAGTACCATCAAAGACTCAATGGGCATGGTATATTTTTTGTGTTTAAATGAATTCTTTGATTATTGATAATATGTCCCACTCTATGTAAATCAAATATTTAATTACCCATATTGTCTACTCTGATTATTTGGAACATTATCATAAGCTTATTAACAAAGATTCATTTTCAATGTTTTAAAAAATATATCAATGGTTTTATAGAAATTTAAATGCAAAGATGTGTTTGGGTGTCACAATACTTTTAATGGGTTATTTAAAAACTAGAGATTTTACATAAAAATCTTTTATTTTTGTTTCTCTTCATGTAATGTAAAAACTTCTACATTTCTTCCTGAAGAGCTTTCTTTTTGCCAGTGTACCCCATTTCATAGCACTTCCTTGTTTCCATAAGAAGCTGGAATCACTAAGTACAGTCCACTGAGAACCAAAACAAGGGAAGGGGCTCCAAAAGACCCTCATCTCCATGACAAAGAAAGGGTTAAATGACTTGCAGACCCCTGGCCAGGCACAGGATTCCCTTGACTAAGTTACAAATGACCTGACCCAGAGCTGCATCCAGAAAGCCAGCCTTCCCTCAGAAAATGACAAGACAGATCCAGCTACCTAGGAAATCACCGATTAGATGGTTACCATGCATGTGGGCAACTCAATAACATTTAAAAATATTCCAAATTTCCATTAAAAAAATTGTAATCATTTTTTTACTTCAACTTGAATTTTAGGTTTTGGGTCAAAGCTGCAGATGCCTATTTTGAGGAAGTGACTCTATATTAATGTCACTTTGAATCAAAATGCTTTTGGGAAGGTACAATTTTTAAAAATCATTCATTAGATATGTTTTTTCTAAAACTAAAGTGCTAGACAACCTATAATTATAGGTCATGTTAACAGTAATCCATAACAATGCTAATTGGGTCTAATCACTAGTCTTCCAGTGCATTTTTTTTTAAGACCACACTTCACAATTCATATTTCAGCTTGCAAGTAATTTCGATGTAAATAGTTATTTCTGTGAAATAATTAAAAAAATTTGACTCCAATTTGAAAACTGACTCAAAGTCATGATCCCTGTTTGAGCACATCCTCTATGTGCCTAAAAATGCTGGGGTCTTCGATCGTAGGCGTTACCTGAAAAAAGAAGTAGAGGTATGAGTGCACATCCTTGAAACCCTTTCATACATTCTATAATTAATTACATGCAACGTTGGATTCCCCATTATCTTATAATACTCATACATAAATGCTCAAAAATAGGGAACATTGAACCTAATATTTAAAAATGTCCCTCAGCTCTCCAGAATGACAAAACAAACTGTTTTGTTAGCAAAACTAATTGTCCTCAATGTTACTTTCTACAGAATTCCTCTTGAGACTTTCTATATTCCTCTATAAAATAAAATTTAAAAAAATTTGCATTTGCTCATGCACTACTCTACTATTAAAATATATATATCTCAGTAGGTATACTATGCAGACAAATTTTAAAATACATATGTTTGGATCAGCCTAAAGTTTCCTATAATAATTTTCACTCAATACAATTAGCATATTCATTAATGCAAAGAGTTTAAACATGTGTAGCCAGCCTTGATTACTTGCTTTCTCACTAACAGCCATTAATGAATACAATGAAGGAAAATGTAATTCAATAATGTAATTGCATTTCCACAAGTTTGATTGGATTTAAGTAACATATTTGCTAATAGTAATATTTTCACACACTGATTCTTATATTCTCAAAACATATGATCTTAATTAATATGCGGTTCTCCAAAGCCATGATCCCTACAGAGTGGTTATGCAATTTCTCACTTAACATTTAAAAAAGTGCTATGATGTGTATTTTAGGGATGCAATTCATGCTTGAGAACCATTTTAAAGAACTTTGCTGATGCCAAAGAAATGGGGATAAACCATTTCAAAACTCAGCATCGAACATTATTGAAAATTTACCTTATAAGGCTTGCCATTGACAAGGGCAGAGAGAGCTGACCGTGGAATTTTGCCCGATCTAGTTTTTGGTAACTGTTTGACAAAAACTGCATTTCGGAAAGCAGCCACAGGGCCAATGCTCTGTCTAACATGCTTCACAATTTCTTCCAATACTTGTTCCTCGGTTGTATTGATACCTAAGGAGAGGGTCAGATGGGAAGCAGTGAATTCACCTTAGTTAATCATTCAGGGCCCAAACAGTCAGGGAGGAGTGAGCTCTCACCTTTTTTCAACACGCAGAGGGCTAAGGGGACATGCCCTTTCAAAGGGTCTTCCTTGCCAACAACAGCGCAGTCAGCCACAGTGCCATGGGAAAGGACTGACTGTAATAAGAAAAGGCATTCATTTAGTGTGTGTGTGTGTGTGTGTGTGTGTGTGTGTGTGTGTGTGTGTGTGTGTAAATTATTTTAACTGGAAAACTAAGTACATGTCAGATAACTCAAAAAACACATACCTGTCTGTGTGAAAATTACTGCTAATTCACAACTCATATCTTACTACTGGTTTGAATGGTTAGGATGCCCACATTAGTCACTCACAAAAACTGACGGTAATTAAGACCAATTGCTTAGTTTACCTGGAAAGTAAGAAATTTGTTTCTTCATCTCAGTTGTTTATTAGTGAAGTCAGAGAAAATATGCCGGGGACACCACAGGTTAACCAATTGCAACCAAAACAGACAGCCTCATGGTGATTTGGCTTTAGTGCTGGCAACCAAAAGCTCACCTACCAGGAGTCCATGGCAGCCCCAGGACTAAAGACGGAGTGCTTATATTTTTGCATCTGTTACTAAGCAAAGACTAGAGCATTTCTTTTCTTGAGTGACCACCCAAACAGAGAAGACTTTCCAAAAACAAAAGAAGAGACTGGACATGGAGTGAAGCCCTGAGATCAAGGAATCACATTGTCCAGGAACCATTTTCATATGCTCACCCGAAGCTTTCGGGGTCTTAAAGTGAATAACCAAAAAGCAATTTTCTGAAAAAATTATATGTATTTCAGTGACTGCAAATCTCCAATGACTAGACAAAACAGTGAACAAGATACCAACAGTTCATTTAGAAGTTCTCATTCTTTCTTCCAGTCAGTCATTCAACAAAGATTGACTAAACACTTCCTGTGTTCCAGCCAGCGCAATAGATACAATGGTGAGCAAAGACAGGCAGAGCACAGTCTCATGATGCCTATGGCCTAGTAGGGGAAAGCAATACTATAAATGTTACCATAAATGTCTAAATATATAAGTGTAAGGGCTTTGGGGCATTAATCTGTTTTTATAGTGAAATAGAGCAAAAGTAACCAAGTTGGCTGAAGGATACGGATGTCAGAGAAGCCTTTCCTTAGGAAGTGACAATAAGCTCCGTGAAAATTAGTGGACATGGATTAGGCAAAGAGGAGGGAGCCCTGTGGAAGCACTGTGCATGTACAGTCACACCTGAAAGAAACCGGTGTGGCTGGAAAGCAGGCACAAGGCTGAGAAGATGAAGCTGCAGCGCTAAAGAGAGGCTGTGCAAAGACTTCCAACTGCAGTTGTGGCAGCACTGGGATGGTAAGAAAGCACTTTCAGGAGTTGAGGAAGAGATGCAAGATCAGATGGGTTCTTAAAATTAACTTTATAATTTAGAGTAGTTTTAGGTTCATAGAAAACAGCAGAAGTACAGGAAGTTCCCATACACCTCCTGCTCCTGTATACGAACAGCTTTCCCCACCATCAAAACCCCTCACCACAGCGGTATATTTGTTACAAGTGATGAACCAACATTGACACATCCTGACCCTCGTCCATAGTTTACTTTAGAGTTCACTCTTGGTGTATATTCCATGTGTTTTAAGACATGTATCCACCATTACGGTATTTTTTAGAATGGCTTTATTCCCCTAAAAAAATTAAAAATAAATAAATGTGCTCTGCCTATTTATCCCTCACTTCCCCCTAATCCTTGGCAACCAGTGATCTTTTCACTGTCTCCAAAGTCCTTTTCCAGAATGTCCTGTAGTTGGACATAACAGTAGATAACCTTTTCAGATTGGCTTCTTTACCTCAGAGAGGATTTTGAAAAACACAAGCTTGTTTCACATGTGGAGGGTAAGTAGCAGATTGATAAGTGAGTATCACAATTTGTGCGGTGAAACCACCTAAGAGGCTCCTGGAATAGACCAAGGATATGGCAGTGGGACTAAAGATTCTAATAAACGGATACAGGTGATAAATTGGATATGGAACACAAAGAAGCGAAGAGTTAAGAATGATTCGGTGTATTTGGCTGAGCAGCTAGTTGGGTAGTGATATCATTTTCTAAGCAAGAAAATGCTACTGAAGACTAGGCCTGAGAAGAAAGATCGTTTGATAAGTCTTGGAAACTTACTAAGGAGTGCTGGGACATCCAAGCCAGAGCAGTTGGAGCTGAGGAAAGGCTCAACCTGGAGATGCATATTTGAACAGCATTAATATTAGATGCTAATGAAGGCGTGGACATGGATAAATTCGGGAGAAAGCAGTGAGAGAAATAGAGTGAAAGCCTCAAGGAACTGCAACAGCTAATGGCTATATGAAAAAAAAGAAGCTAATAAACTTGACTTAAAAAGCACAACCAGACAGATAGGAGAGAAATCAACAGAGTCTGGGACATTTCACTTTCAACTCCCAAACCTTCAATAAAGAAACCTTTTCTCTTTTGATTGAGCCAAATAAAAAATTAACATTCTCTCCTCCAAGCTCCTGGAAAACTCAGTGAACTGCTAGATGCTTTGGTATAAAACTGGTGTGCTACCTCACACAGCCCTAATTAAACATACAGGTCAACCTTTCTCCCCTATCCTATCGTTAGCATCCTTTGAAATTTTGAGTTGCAAGGATGCACATCGACACAGGTTTTGACTTCTATATTGTGGAGGGTAGATCTTGTTAAATAAATAGTTTCTGTACTTCATGTTTTATTAGCTTCATTGCTAAGGTAAATACACCCATGCCCTCCTTCCATTAGTTGGGCCTGACAAAAGCACATACTCAACCATGCAATACTATGTTCTCCCTCTGCTTCAATTTGAACTCTCAGATGCTTCCAGCAGCTTTCCCATTTGTTAAGGTCTTATTTACTTTTTAGACTTGTGTGTTGAGAGTAGAAACAAATTTTACTCCCATGGATTTGTTTGGGTAGTCACCAGTTCATGGAGGAGATTACTTTGTCTGTGGCAGGTAGGATAGAGATGGGATGGGGTAAATTCTATAATTCTGATTTACTATTCCTATCTTTATAAATAGGGAAAAACAATTTTATTTGGCTAATCAGAGTTAAAAGTGTCAAAAAAAAAAAACACAAAAAAATCACACACACACACCAAAAACAAACAAACAAACAAAACCAAACACTTATTACAGTGTTCATTGGTGCCATGAGCTTCTGTATCTAAGTTTTTGAAATGCCAAGATATCAGTTCAACTCAGTGAAAAAAAAGAAAAAAAAGGATCATTCAGATATTTTGTCACTTAACCTATATGACTGTAATTTTAACTAAATTAAACATCAAAATTTCTAATTTGTTATTCTTTCACATTGTTATTTTAAGCTCAACATGTTTGTTGCCTTCCTTAATCTTAGTGTTTTTTTTTTAATATATCTTATTAATTTTTTTACAGAGAGGAAGGGAGAAGGATATAGCGTTAGAAATATAGATGAGAGAGAAACACCCATCAGCTGCCTCCTGCACGCCCCCTATTGCATGCCCTTGTCTGGAATCGAACCTGGGACCCTTCAGTCCTCAGGCCAATGCTTTATCCACTGAACCAAACCGGTTAGGGCAATCTTAGTGTTTTTAAAAGTACCGTAGATAGGGAAATTTTGACTGGTTTTCTATAAGGGCAGGGAGTATTTTAAAATCAGAAGTAATACATAACACAGTTCTCTATAATTTCAAAGTTTCCCACTTTTTTCTAACTGTGTATAAATTCTTAAAAATCTGTGAGAGATTATCTCTTTCCATAATTGCATGCCATCTGTAAATGAGGTTCACTATTATTGTGGATAAAATATTATATTGACCTGTCAGTGTTAAAAAGATACCATAAAGGAAGGGAGCCAACCAATTTTCTATTTTGGCCCCACCAACCATACTGACATGCCAAATAATGCTTTCAACAATTGAGTCATTATAAAAGAAAATATCAAAATATGCCTTGCCAACATTTGAGGGACAGAAGTGAGCCAAATGTCCTGTGAGGAAAAACAATCAAAAGCCACGTTTGTACATTCTCTTTGTATAAATACTATGGTGCAGCTGTAAAAAAGAAGAATCTCTTACATTTTGAGACAGCATGGAAGGACCTGGAGAGTATTATGCTAGTGAAATAAGCCAGTCTGACAAAGACAAATATCACATGATCTCACTCATATATGGAATGGAATGAACAAAAACAAAAACAAAAAAATGATGGGTAAAATAGATCCAAAGACATAGAAGCGTGGAATAGACTGAGGAATCTGAGAGGGAAGACAGGGATGGGGGTGGTGGTGGGGTGCTGGGGTGCTGGAAGCCAATTCCAGCATGTCATAATTATAAGAGTTTCATCTGAAAGGTTGATGAAGCTTCCTGGCTCAACAAGGGCTGAGTCATATATGTAATCATCTGTTGGAATGGCTAGAAAGCATCTCTCCCAAACCTGAATAGGATAATTGTTTGCTGCCAGATAGCTCAGGGCATCTTAATCTACATGTTATTGCCTCCTATTGTCGAAACACATGAATAGCTGTAGGTTATTCTCCAATCTGACAATGCTTCTGTAAACCCTACTCTTTGAAACCATACCCTTTGAAGTGTATTATCTCCTCCTTGCCTTAGGACAAAGTGTGTTAATAAAAAGCATGGGTCCTGAGTCCAGGGGAAGTCTTTAGCTCCTTTAGCTAAGCTTTTCTGACCACCAATGTCTTTCAAAACTATCTTTCATTTTTGGACTCCTTATTGAATCTATGCACAGCCTCTCTCCAGATTGTTGAACCCTTCATAATGCTGAGACAAGAAACCTGACAGTGGGGAGAGTAACTGAGAAACTTATATGCATATATGCATACCCATGGACACAGACGATATGTGATGAAGGCTTGGGAGGGGCAGGTGTTGGGTAGAGGGGATCAATGGGAGAATAGAGAGTGGGCATCTCTAATACTTTCAACAATAAAGATAATTTTTTTTAAAGAAAGTGACTGTGAAACAAATAAAACAAATAATTAACTAAATTCTATGACAAATCTGTGGTTAATAAATAAATTCCCCCTTAAGATACAACTTAAATGGTAATTTAAAGATACAACTTAAGCTGAAACTGGTT